AGTGTGAAATCATGCGGCCAGAGCACTCAGAGCATCCAGAGCTTACTCGGAGACAAGTGGGAGACAAGTGTGAAATCATGCGGCCAAGCACTCAAAGCATCCAGAGCTTACTGGGAGGCCAGGAACACAAGCCCGGAGACAAACTCAAAATCATCTGGCCCGAGCATGCACCCCTTTAAAAGGAGTAAGAACCCCTCACAGGTAAACCTGTTTGGGGAACTATATGACAAACATTTACAAACTATATATTATATAATATATGAAAGAAACTGCCAAAACGTAGAGCATGCCCTGTCCACTGTCCACCGCGCACCCGCCGCGGACCTGAACCGCAGAGCTGACTTGTCGTAGGTGAGCCACGGGACGAATGGCCATGACATCCGGAGCCACTGCCAGCGACCCTGCGGTTCGTGGGGGGCGTTTTTACGACCTTTTTCTTCTCGCCACGAAAAGGGATTGGGAACACAAATCGGTAGGAGCCTCTTGTGCCTTGATGATCCTTGGTCCTTGATGTACCACTTATAAACGGATCCAGTGTTAAGGCAGCGCATCTGCAGGACCGACCCATCACAAACCCGATCATGGCTTCCTTCTCCCAAAGACTCCAAGAGAAGAGCCCAGTCCGCTGATAGTCCAAATCCGGGCAAAGGAAGGGACAAGCGAAGGCCTTGGTCAGAACTGCTTCAACCATCAGCGCAAACTGAGCACTGTCAGATTTGGACTCATTCCAACTGACATCCTTTTAACTGGGATTTCATTGATTAAGTTTACCTTTGTAATTGCAGGATCTGTCAGAAACAAATCAGTCTGTTTTTGAAGCATGTCGAAAGGTTTCGGACACCCAAAAAGCCTTTAAGCCTTTAAGTCTTTTTAAACATGTCTGGAAGGATGGCCTTTGGCAAAGCAGGACTGACTATGCTTCGCAGAATTGAAACCAAGCTTCAACAGAACCAATTGAAGCAATCCCGAAATAGATTTGCCGAATTCCGCCAACAGCTTAATGCAAGGGCAATTGAGAATTTAGATGGTTTTTGCAGGAACTTTTGCCGATGCACCAAGGTTTAAACCGCAAACCCTTGAGGTACCCTGCCTAAAATACCTGCGCGTAATATTCAATTTCTTGGATACAAGGAGTACCCTTGACCAACAAATCTATTATGTTTTGCCTTTGCACTTTAGCTGAAGCTTGCGGTGGCTCTACACCAAAAAAACTAAATTGAAAAGCGCCAAAGCTCCGGGGGAACAAGTGAATGGCTGGCTACATAGTTCCCTGGCACAACTGTATTTAAGGAACCTATATAGACTCTGTGACAAAGGAGGCAGTGATTAAAGAAAACACTAATCCTTAAATACCCCTTGCATTTAAGGACTTGCTTGGTCGGCTAGTCCTGCTGGAGCCGGGAATCCTGCAATAAAGTCCTTCTTAGTAAGGTCCCTTGAGCCGTTTTTCCTATAATTAAATCTACTGTATCTTGTTTATATCTGTTCTCTGTCTGACACAATTGCAAACCTCCTACCCAAAGACCAGTGGATGCTGATTTTCTCCCGCCGATGCTCTTGGGTGATGGGTCCACACCTCCCACACCTCCGCTGAAACGCCATGGGCTCAAGGCACTGTAGCTGGTAGCTGTCCAAGCCTGTGTACTTTCGGCCACACATCGAAGGCCTTGGCTGGGCCAACGTCCGATATGGTGCCTCGATGACACCAAGAACTGCTGCTGACCGAGTTGTAGTAACAAGTAATTGTCTCAGTAAGCCGTCGTAACACGTCTTCCAAGCTCGATTTGGATAGAAACTGCCTACACTTTTTCACTTTACTTCAATCAAAGGTCATCAAGCACGCCATCTCTTCAGGAAGGCTGTTAGTTGCAGCTGGGCTTGCCGTTCACCGAGTTGGCTCCCACGCTCTGCCAAGTGCAGTTGGCGCCGGCCGGAAGATCTGTGAAGAGTAGAGCAGCATCAAAGCCATCGACTAGCACATGGAAGCAAAGCGCGGGACAATTGTGCCTCCTACAGAGGTGAACTCACTGTTTGGGAGTACAAAACTTGTGGATACTTGTGGTCGAAAGCTGTGTGTTTCCGTAAAAAAGAGCACATATGACATTATTATGACATACTATGAGTGGAACTGGCCCTTGCTGGGTCCGTCGCTGATTTGGGCGAATTACCTGAATTTAATTCAGTCTAGCATACATCAAAGGAAGGGAACTGCTTGTCTGCTCGACATGTGAGGATGATTTGGTGTTCATTGGACTATGCACCGGTCCAGCTTGCGGTCTCAGACCTCATGAAGCTTGAAAGTCCAAAGGACAAAACACCGGTACTACAAAGGAAAGTAACCGAATCAAATTACCATGGCCATCTTGGACTGCAAAAACCTTGGTGGCCAACTATAGGTGCCCAAGTTCCTCCATCACACACTGCATCCAGCCAGCTCCAATTTAGTAAGGCACCTTGCTACTAGTAATGCCCTTCTTGCTACTAGTAATGGCCTCCAACCTAATAGCAATGGCCTCCAACCTCGTAGCGTCCTTGTTACTAGTAGTAAGGCACTTGTTACTAGAAGCGATGCACTTGTTCCTAGTAGCGTCCTTGTTAGTAATGCTCCAGCCTTCAAGAGGTGATCCTCCAGCCAAGCCAAAGTCAAAGGGTGCTGAGGGTATTGGCACAAAGGTC